GTGTGATATTTCAATACATGTATACAACATGTACTGATCTAATTAGGTAATTAACATTTTCATCTCATTACTTTCTGGGAATGAGTAACAAAAATGTGGTATGTGTATACAATGGAATATTAATTATTCAGCTATAGAAAATAATGATATCCTAACATTTGCAGCAAAATGGATGGAACTGCGGGGGGGCAATACGTCCAACAAAAAAGTTGGACACAAAGAAAATATTTTGTGTTCTCATATGTTGATGCTAAAAAGAAAATCTATCTGAATTAGTGATTACTAGAGGCTTAGAAAGGCAAGGTGAGGAGGTATAGAGGGTGAATAATGGGTACCAAAACACAGAAGTTAGTAAACTCTAGTGTTCTATGGCACAGCACAAGAGTCTGTTATATATTTTATGAATAACTAGAAGAAAGGAAGTCAAAGGCACCAAACAACTTTCAAGCAATCCTCGATTCTGGTTTACATTACATTATGATCTCATACAATTCCCAATCTCAGTTTCCTCATTTATAAAGTGGGACAATAACAGTGACAATCTCAAGAAATTAATGAGGAATGAAAAATATACTATATATAAAATATTTAGTATAAATGACTAGCAATTAAAGGTTTATAAATACCAAATATTATTATTATTTACAGATGTCTCTGCTTGATACAAAACAGTAAACACTGTGAAAACAACTCAGGATCATTGTCCACCAGAATGGCCTCTTTAAATGGTCTCTATACAAAAAGCCAATGCACCTCCCCCCSCTTCACCTACCCATCCCCACAAATGGGGACTGAACCAGGGCCTCTGCACATGAGGCAAGCATACTGAGCTACCTCCCAAGATATTTTTACTTTATCTTGAGACAGGGTCTACACTGCCTAGACTGGCCTCAAATTTAAGATCCTCTTGCCTCAGACTCCCAAGTAGCTGTTTTATAGGCATGCACCACTATGGCTATGACGCATTCTTAAAGCAGATTATTTATTCTATATACATTTCAACTGCAAGTATTTTAATACGTACTTCTGTGTTCTTATGTTCTTAAGTAAAACATTTTACAAAAAAAAATTTTTTTAATTAAAAACAAAAAAATTCATGACAGAATTAAGAGTGATCAATCTTTTGTAATTACTGTTATAAAATATTAAAATAACGGAAATCTAAAATTATACTCTCCATAATCCCATTAACTAATGAAATCAAAGCTTTCATTTGTTCACGTTATTTCCTATTCCTTATCTTTATGCATGTCCAATTTTTAAATATTAAAGGAACATTTTATAGGCTACATTTTCATTTAACRTAATACCACAAGAATACTTTACAAAATTTTCACCCTTATACTCTTTCCTTTATCATCTCTACCCCTTGAAGATAACCAATGATAACAGCTTCACAAACATCGTTCACAACTTTCTCTTAAGTCCATACATATACTAGTATACATAGACACATACATGGTAAGGGGGAAAAAGTTTAATGTTTTTACAAAAATTTGAAGCATATTACTTATAGATATGCCATCTATTTTTTTAGCCACATCACTTATACCTTGAATTTATATAAAGGGAAATTTAAGTATTCAAAGAGACCTATTGGACTAATAATATATACATTAATAAGAAAACTTTGAAAAGATATAGGGATTTTGCAAAAATATATGGCCACCAGATTTAGACCTAACATACTATTTCATCCATGTATAAATAATGACTATATACAAGCCTAAACAAATCTCAAAACCTATTTTAGAAAACAAAATCATTATTATATTTAAAAAATTCATAATACCGCAAAAATACCCTGACTTCAGTATACGTGAATGTAATATTGGCCTTCACATATAGACAGTAGAATATAAACAACCCGGTTCTCTCTGTAACAGAATCGACTGATGGATATTAGTGCTGATCCACTCACATACTCACCTTCTTCATTTTCACAAACTGAGAGATTGGCATTCAGGTATAATCTGATTTTAATATCTATTGTTAAGAAAGGCCCACAAACAGGAAAAAAAAACACCATACAGGTCCACAAAAAATTTAAGGTTAAACCAACAGTCACTCTCCCATCTAAACAATCTTAGAACGATTAGAAGATCCCTTAATTTGGACCCACAGGAGAGAACTCTGAAGCATAGAAAATGGTGTGAAATATTTACTGAAGACCCCAAAAGTACAAAGCAGAGAATGGGGTACCCAAACTATATAGCCTCTTCTGTAATAGKTAAACTTTTCTTACTAGAAGTCGATAAAAGCCTTGGAGTTCCTATAACATAGTGATCATAAGTACTGGAGACAAAAAAAAAAAAAAATAGTAAAAAGGGCTCTACCTGAAGCAGTTCACAATTTAGCAGAACCTCCAACAATGTATTATCCCAAATGACCAAAAGTAACATAGTCCAGGGCCCAGCATAGACTTATCAATGAGCATAGGTACTSAACAATTTTCTTGCAATTTATGATTATAAACATCAAAGGCAACAAGCCTCATAACATAGTACCATATCATCAATGCAATTTCAGATTAAATAACCTAACAGTATTATCCAGGTCTATGTAGTTAGTTTGCTGTAACTGCCTCAACGCAGTCAAATTATTTAAAATCAACTTACACTACACAGTCCCACTAATCTGTTTGGCGTATACCCATGTAATTCACGTGGAGTCTCTCTCTCTCACACACACACATACACACACACACAAAACAGGGGGAAAAGCACTTGTACCATGTAAAAATATCCTGCTGAACATTCTAACTAAATACCAACAACATAATGGACTATGGATGATATTGAAGATATGAATTTGCAACACCCAAAATGAAAGCCGTAAAATGATGGGTAAACCCTATACAAGAGCTGCACACCTTACGTGTTTGTTATTAAAAATAACGCTTGTGGGGGGGGGCTGGGGTTGTGGCTCAGTGGTAGAGCACTTGCCTGGGACGTGTGAGGCACAGGGTTGGATTCTCAGCACCACATATAATTAAATAAAGATCCACTGACAACTAAAAAATAAAAAAATAATGCTTCAACTGCAACCAGTGTGACACCTTTAAATGTAACCTAAGAGAAAGAACATACTTAAAATCTAGTTTAGTTACCAATGTACATAGATGTTTTCTAGAACATTCTAGAACATCCTAAATGATGAATAACAAAAAATTAGTTGCTACAGGATGCAGGATCTCCCTGAATAAACATTACACACTTAAACTCATCCTATATATTTTAATTGGTAGACCATACTGCCATATGCATTGAGGATCCAGCTGAAAATTCATCACAGATTGCAGAACAATTTAAAATTTCAAAATACATGCATTCCATACCCAATATTTATATTAAATGAACTACTCAGTCACACCATTCAGTTTAACTTGCTTTATGACTAATTACTGATTGAGAAGAATGTAACATTTTGAAATCCTAATACCATCAACATTAAATTTTAATTGCTCAAAATACAATGACATGTATTAAAATAAAACTACTGGTGAGTGGATAGATAAGACAGATGGAATAAATATGTGATAAAATAAATGTTTAGTTAAATGATGATAGCAGAATCCAGGTGATTGAGCTTTATGGATGCATCMTGAATTGGATTGTATTTTCAATTTTGCTGGAAAGATATATATTTTTCCTAATGTCTTGTTGGAAAAATTAATTGCCACTTCTTTGGTTATTTATTATTTAAACTTTTAAGGTGAGAAACACAGATTTAAAACACTCCTAAGTGGCATCCTGGATGGAACCTGGGTTCGAACCTGGGTTCAAATCCCAGTTCAAAACTCTTAACTAGCAGGGCACGGTGGCACACCCCTATATCCCCAGACGCCAGGAGGCTGAGGCAGGACAAACACGAGTTCAAAGCCAGCCTCAGCAAAAGCAAGGCGCTAAGCAACTCAGAGAGACCCTCTCTCTAAACAAAATACAAAATAGGGCTGGGGATGTGGCTCAGTGGTCCAGTGCCCATGAGTTCCATCCCTGGTAAACACCTCCTCCCCCCGCCAAACAAAAAAAAAAAAGGAAAAGACATTTTAAATAAAGATTAAGTAGCATTTCTTTTTTAACCAGGTTGGCTTAACACTAATTGATGATTTTCAGACCATTCCCAAAAGGAAGATTCCTGATGGGAAACTTATGGCTTAACATGTTGGGGGGTGGGAAGTAATTTAAAAGAAATATCTGAAAAATATTACTCAATTGATAGTATTGTTCTCCATCTGAAGAAAACCACTCAGAATCAAATAAGAAAAGTTTCAAGGCAAACTTTAAAAGGCATTCAACAACTCCTATGTAGAATTAGCTTCACCTATGCAGGCTGGTTGGGGACATCCTTGATATGACTAAACTTGTCATACTCTTCCACGTTCCTAATTTCAGGGAAATGAAGATAGATGAGGACACAACATGTGCAAGTGCCAAAATCTTTCTCCTAAATCAGAATAGGCAGGGATCCCACTTCTTCACAGGTAAGAGTGCCACCTCCACTTTGGTCATGATAACGGTTAAGAGGGGGAGGGGAAAGGAGGCAGAAAATGAATTCGCGATGGTGTTCCTGAAAACCCTCCTGGTTGTTGCTCACGAGACCCCCTCCACGACTTATTCCCGCCACCACTACCCCCACCTGACCTCTCCCCAGTGAAACTTCCACGGACTCTCATTCACTGAAGATGTGGTCGACATTCTGACCCCTTCCCTCCCTGGGCCCCCAAAACACACTCACCCGCCCCCCTTGCTGGGGGCGGGGGGCGACGCAAACAACCGCCCCCGCCCCTCCCCCCAGCAACCAATCTTTGTCCCACCTGCAGAAGGAGCGCTCTGCGACGCGCTCCAGCCCCGAGGTGATCGCGGACCTGCCCGCGACCTCCCCGCGCCGCGGGCGTCGGCGCCCCCTGCTCCAGCACCGGCTTGGCCCTTCGCCCGCCGCGGCCCCGGCCCGGCCGCGCCCCGCCCCCCGCCGCCCGACTTCTGCCTCACCTCACCTACCCTCTTTCGGGGGCCGGACTCCACCTCTCTTTCCGCCATGTTGGGCCCCGCTCGGAACCGCTGCGGCTCCCGGCGCGGCAGCGGCACCGCTCGGCCCCCCGGCCCCCGCCCACACTGCAGACACGGCCGCCGCGCGGCAGCTTCCCAGACCCGGCCGGGCCTGGCGCACGAGTGAGGAGGGGGCGGATGCCGCGCGCGCAGCCACAGATCCCGGGGTCCCACGGGTGTGCGCGTGGGCGGGAGGGCCTGCCCGGGTCAGGGGGGGCCGGGACTCGGGGGGTTAATGGCCTCCAAGGGGCCCCGTGAGTAGGATTATTTTCTCTCAGAGAAATTCCTCCGCCTGCGGTTTCTTAAAGGGATCACCAAACCAGCCCCTTGCGCGCGCCCCTGATGCGCAGGCGCACCATAAGCCCCTCCTCCCTTTCCCACCAAGCCCCCGGTCCTGAGCGTGCGCGGTGAAGGGCCCAGGGTAGGCCAAATCCTGCAAGTCTCTTTGCTGCCAGCAGCTGCTCCCACCACTCAACTATGGCCGCTCCCTTAAAGGGACCATGACGTAGTGATGAAGAAAGAATGAAAGAAATCAATGAAAGGACAATCTGGAGGACTGGGTGAAATGTCATTGAGGGGTCCACATCACCATCTTACACCTGACTACAGAGCTGCTGTTGAAAAGATAAAATGTTGATGAGCTGAAGTTCTCAGTGGACCTCTAAGCTTGAAGAACCCCAACCAGTAAGGGTACAAGACAGTCATCTCAAGAAAAATTGGCTTCCCTACCTGTTGACAGCCTGATTGAAGCACAAGGCAAGGAATATCAAGGACCAACTTCAATAGCCTAACCTCAAAATCAAATCCTTTAGTGATTTTGAAGACTAACAAACAACTGGAGATAATTTCCTCAATTACTATTATGTAGTGTCTACCACTACAATATCAAAATGGGAACRGAACCATCTATTCCAGGCTCTCAATGGTAACACTGAAATATGATCATGGGAAGAATTACCCCAAGATACATAGTGGCTCATTGGAACTAGAATCAAAATATGAGTCACAGTCCTTTAGGATTTTCAAAGAACCAACCTGTCTTCAAGGCAAGAGAGATCATTTAAAAGGAAAGTATCATGATAATTCAAAAATATTTAGTTATTCTGGGAATAAGTGTGATTCTGGATTTGCAGCTGTTGTTCATCCCCATTCATCTCCATTTGAGATAAGAATTTGGGGATACAAACAAGAAAGATACCAAGTCTCAAAGGAAGCACCCATGAACAATTGAAATGCAAAAAGCGCCCATGAACCTTTGCAATTCCTGAGCAACTGAGCCAGCACTCTTGACCCTTGTCCTCTATTTCAGAAAGTGACATGAGAGGACAATGCGCAAGTGCAAGGAAAATAGCCGGAAATTGCCTAAATCCACCTCTAGTCCAGCCCATATCAACTTTTCCTCCATAAATATTAATACCCCACACCATAGGTTGCTGCTTCTCACTTGAGATAACCCACCGTCTTTGGATGTGCCTGTGCTTTCCTAAATAAATTTCTGTGTATGCCTCTGACTGCTGTGTGCTCAAATTCTTTTCCATCAGGTGTGCCAAGAACCCTGCTCATCCTGAGTTGAGCTCCCCCTTCTCTCCAGCCTCTGACCCTTGAGAGACATCTCTTCTCCCATGGCACATTGAAGGAACTTGAGAATCTCACTTAAAGAATGAGCATCTTATTATTGTCTAAGCAGGAAAACAGGGAGTAGACTTGGGTCTATCTTGCCCTGAACCTAAGCTGGATCGTATATGAGGACGGTTGAGGACAACAAGGGCTTGATTCATCCTTCTGTTCCTTCTAGTCCACTGAGTCTTTGGTGGAGAAAAATTTCCCTAATGACATTCTTAATAGCTTAGGGACAATGGGGAAATACTGTAAGAAATGCAAAGTTGCCTCTTCAAGTCCTTCCCCATGACAAGACACATTAAAATGGAAATGAGCAACTCCTGAATTCACAGGGTATTGAGATGTGACATCCCTATGTCACTTTGACTTTTGTGCATCACTTGGGAGGTGTTTTGAACCCAAAAAGTTTGCTAATCTATCATGTTTTGCTGAAAACTCTGAAATGGCTGGAAATATCCATTCTGGTCCTTTCTTAGGTTTGTTCATTTTTAATTTCACTCTTGGGTAGGAGAAAGAAGGTGGAATGGAAATAAATAAATATAGACAGATAGATTGATATTCATTTCAGCCAGAATTTTTTAAAAATGTTAGACCCTTTAGTTCCGTGTCCTGAACAAGAAGGAAATAAAAAGAGAAGCCAAGAAAAGATAATTTCAGGTGACTATAGGTACATAAAAGATCTAGTGGCTTTCACCTGTTTTATAAACAATGGAATATTTGTTTGTAATAAAATCTAGCTGCTTAAAGTAGAGCTGCCCAATTTAAATTGGAAGTGGGTACCCACAAGACTGACTGTTCCTAAGCCTTAGACTYGTCTTCTGCTGCTTCTTTCAGTTCCATCCTCTCAGAAAAATGTTGGRTTTCTCAGAATACAGTTTAGAGCCATTAATTTAGGCCAGTTCCACTTTCTTTCGTTTTTTTTTTTTCCCCATGGGCTGAGCATCAAACCCAGGGTCTTACACATACTTAGCCAGCACTCTACCATTGAGCTACAACCCCAGACCAATTGGGCATTTTAAAGATGAAACATGGGACCAGAGAAGTTGTGACTTGTTGGAGATCACACAAAGAATTAGTAACAGCATCAGGACTGGAACAGACACCTAGACCCTCAGCCGAAGGTTCTCTCCTGCATCAGACTGTTTCTAGAGGTATTAGAAATGTGTTGGGTCTTGAATAATAGGCAGGGTTTGTGCATTACAGATAAGAATCAAACATACCAGGAGTGTTTGATGCAATCATTGATGTGGAGGGAGGAAAAAAGAGAAAAACAATATTTAGTGAGAACTATGAATTTAATCATAATTTTACAGAGGGATCCATAGAGATTAAGAGATTGGTCCAAGGTTGTTAAGCAGAAAGATTGAGACAGAATTCAAAGACTTGTTCTTCTTGGATTTTAAATATCATTAACAAAAGATTGCAAACTAGTGACCTTGTAATCAAATCTGTCCCACAAATATATATTTGACATATATTGTATATAGCTACATGACCTTGGTCAAGTTACTTGTTTGCAATTTGGTTTCCTCATCTGAAAATGAGTTATTGGGATGATTAAATAAGTTAACATCTGTTAATCTCTTAGAAGATTTTTGGTTCCTAGCACGATATGAGTGTTACAACTTTTATCTTTTTTAAAAATTGTTTAATTATAATGCCAGCATTTAAAATGAGGTAATTTGCTTATGAGTCCAGGTTTTTTTTTTTTTTTTTTTTTACTTCTCTAATAAATAAACTAGAATACAATGGGGGTAAAAATTTGCAAGTATCAAACTGATTCATTTTAATTCTCTTAAGTCAAATTCCATTATAGACTCTTTTCTGAAGTATGGCTCTAGAATTTATTTTCATACTCAGAAGAGAATACAATAGGCTTAATGTAGTGAAAAATAATTTGCTAAATTTCCTTGGTTCCATTTAACCTATGAAGTTCAGCAAATAGTAAGAGTCTGAGAGTTCTCCCACATTCCAGAGGACATTCTTCTTCCATCTAGGACAGCCCAGCCATGAGACTTTGACATCCAGAAATAAAAGCCTTATTCTTTTCATTAAATAATAGAAGGAAGAAAAAGGAAGCAAGAAGTAAGAGAGGTAYCAACTGAGTGACAAGTGTCCCTGTCTTCCCAGCTCTTCAAAGCAGAAAGGACTCTGCTTCTGTTTGGGATTCTAACTAGAAATGGCTTGTAGACCACACCCACAGCAGCAATYAGCCAGCTACATGTGAGTGAAGGTGATGCCCCAGAGTAGTTGGGTAAAGAGAAAAGGGATTTATTTGGCTCCTCTCGATGTCTTTTAGCCAAGGATAAATCCAGGTTTTACAGGTCTCAAAGTTTATGTGATAGGGACAGAAAGAGTTTGTTTTGTTTTGTTTTTAAGAAAAAGAACACAAAAATACACATACAGAATTGTAAGCCTTAGCTTAGTGACCCTTAGCTCTTGTGTAATATAGAATGGATCCAGAAGTTCCCCCATAGCCTGTGGAAGAATAAATAAAAAGATAACCAAGAATACTTCTGACAGGTATGAAAGTGGCTCTGTAGATGACACTGGTCTGGAAACAAAAAGTAGTAACAGTCAGACCTCAGGAAGACCTGTTCATTGCCTCCACATTCTAATCAAGCTCAGATAGGCCAGGCTACAAGATCCTCCACTCGCTGACCAACAGGTTGCAGAGCATGCTGAGAAGAAAGGGAATGGTACAGGAATATCAAATGGATCCCAGGTCTCATGCTTCTTCGTCCATATACACAGATACCATACACGCACAGAGGTAAAGGGCAGCTACATTGAAAGACTGGGTGTTTCTTTCCAAAGGAGGGTATTACATAAAATAATTCTAACTGTCAAGTTCAAATATATTTTAAAGCAAATTGGATATATTAGGTAAACTCAAAGAATGTTAAGAAGAAAGTAAAGCAGAATGCTGGTATGAAGCTTACTTTAGGTATGGTAATCATATCTAATAATCAGAGAATATTGTTCTGAGGAGGTGAACTTTGAGCTGAATCTTAAAAAATGTTGAAAAACCAGCTATGCAGAATCAGGCAAGCCTGTAAGCCCAGCTACTTGGGAGGCTGAGATAGGAGGATAGCAAATTCAAGGCCAGCCTCAGCAAGTTAGATCCCGTCTCAAAATATAAAAATTACAAGCTTACATCACCCCACATGGCCATCATAAGTATTTTTAAATTTTACCTTGTGAAAAGCCATTGGAGACCTCAAAAAAAAATTTACATGCCCTCTGGATACCATATGCAGAATGAGTTACAAGGGAGCAAAGGTGGATATAAGTTAAGAGGTTTTCTGGGACACTCCAGGTGAGAAATGACAATGGCTTACCCTAGAGCATCAGAGGAAGACATAATGAAAAATAGTTGAATTTAGGATATATCTTTTGGAGGTTTAGCCAATTGGATACAAGGAGAAAGAGAAAAAGATGACTTAAGAAAGAGAAAAA